ATCCAGTAAATGAAGTGTCAGTCGATGTAATTCTGGACATTTCCGGAGAGCTCTGGAGCAACTCGTGGGGAAGCTCCAGCGCGAGCTGAGGGACGGCAGAAGTCGTTCGGCCCTCAGCGGCCCTCTCCCTGCCGCTGCTGCTTCTCCTCCCTGTCTTGGGCAAGCTGCGGGCGCAGCAGCGTGGAGCGTCATGCTTCTCCTCGTGCCCCTTCCGTTGCCGTTTGTGGGGCAGGGGCTGTTCACGAACATCATGGACATCTGCATCCCCGACTGGAAGGAGAGGAAAGAGTTCTGGGCGAAGTGGAATCCGAACAGGAAGAGCTTGCCGCCAGAGGACCCCGAGGAGGAGCACAAGGTGGCTCCGCTCCGCTCCCTGCCGTAAGGCACAGAGAGCACGTGCACGCTGGCGCGCGCGCGCGCCGGGGTGTGGCCAGGGCTCATTTTGATTCCTCCGATTTCGACTCGATTCGATTTTGGATTCCAATTTTGGATTTCGATTTCTCAATGGAGGCCTTATCAGCCTGCCGATATCCGCCGATGCGGCTTCTCCCGACCTGGCTTCGATTTCCGCCGATCTGATGCGTTTCGATCGCTGATTCGACATCGATTCGACTCTGGGCTCGCCTGGTGTGGGACGCAGAAGGACATACTAGTACCATGTGTCCTCCTTGGGGGCGCACGTCTGGGCGACTTCGCACGCCAGGGCGAATTATCGACTTATCGATCACGATGCTGGGCCCTCCTGTCTAGCCGCGCCGCCCGGACGGCTGCCCATCGCGGCGCCGGAGGGTGCGCGAGCTCGTGTCGGCGACTGCAAAGGGTGAGGTTACGTCAGGGTGTGGTTTGCGATCGGCGCCGTGGGGGCCTGGAGGGCACGACACTGTCCTCGTCGGGCCTCCTCGGGGCGCGGCGGAGAACTCTATCGAGGCACCTGCCCGCCCCCCATGGTGCCCCCCCGTTCTGGGGCCCTCTTGGGTTGTTTTGGGTCCCTCCTGGAGCCTTCGTGGGCCATCTTCGAGCGATCTGGGGGGCCTCTTGTGCCTTCTTGGAGCGTCGGGAAGCAGAAGAGGCGAGAACACCAAAATGCATCAAAAACCAATGGGAAATCTATGCTTTTTCCTCTTGGGGCCCTCTTGGGAGTGCTCCTGGAGGCCTCTTGGGGCGTCTTGCAGGGCTCTTGGGCCGTCTGGAGGCCGTTAAGGCGTCTTGGACATCGTTCGGCGATTCAGGGCCCTCTTGGACCGTCTTGGGGGCCTCTCGGGCACTCTTGGCCCGTCTTGGGGCTTTTTTGGGCCCCGGGCCCCCCCGGGGGGGAGTCGTATCTGACCTGGGACCCCCCTGGGACCCCCCTCCCGGCGGGGGAGTGATCAAAGGGAAGGGGCTTTCCTTCGAGTCAATTTCGACGATGCTCAATTTCGCTGAACGACGGAGGCGACGACTCGAACGGACAAGCCCGTCACACACGACGACAGGGTCGGCGGATTTAGCGTCGATCAGCGTCGACTTTCGTCGATTTGGCGTCGATTCGCGTCGATTATCGTCGGATAGCGTCGGTTCGCAAGCGCCAACAAGATGGCATCGGATGCTTCCAAGAGTTGCCACCGATCCTGGCGCACAGCGGGCCCAACGAGCGACTACCCTTGCATCCTTGCCCTTCCTCACCACCCACGAAAGCACCCCAACCCAACCCGAAGCCCTCAATTTGCCCTCCATTTCCAGTGTGGGGGGGTCGGGGAGCGTTGAGAAAACACACGGAGCCCGTACCCCCCCAACCCGAAATTGGGGTCAGATTCGGGTCTTCGGGTTGGGTTGGTCTGGTAGGTGGTCACTTTCGGCCCACCCTTGGCGACTTTCGCTCGCCAGCCTCGTTCGCAAAACGTCAACATGGCCTTCCAAGGCCCTTGCATCCTTACCGAGCATCCTCCTTGTGCCTTCTGACTGTATGCATACGTGCGCCCCTGTGCAGGCGCGCGCGCGTGCGTCCGTACGTGCACACGAGCGCGAGGATGTGCGTGCGCGCGCGCGCGCGCGCGCGCGTGTGTGTGTGTGTGTGTGTGTGTGTGTGTGTGTGTGTGTGTGTGTGTGTGTGTGTGAGGGTGTGAAGTGGGCACTGGCCGCGCGTGCGTTTGCTCCACCTCCCGCCCTTGCACGCCTCGACGCTGCGCGAGAGGCCGCGACGTGCAGCGCGTGAGTGTGTCCTCGCGCGCACTTCGGAGGGAGGGGGGGGCTGCACTGGTCCTGTCGTGCCCGCGCGTTTTGGCAGGGGCCCGTGCCTCCTCAGAAGTATCGCACCGGTTTCTGCTAAAAGCCCCGAGCTCTTGGGCAGGCTCGGCGAGTGGCCCATGGGAATCCACGGGATCACGCATTGCCTTGACGCGTCGCTTCTTCCTCAGTTGCATCCTCGTGCTCTTGCTCTCTTCCTCTCGTTTATTCATACCTGCATGTTCACCAGTTTCGCTGTTTCGCTTTGCATGTCTCGCTTCCTGTTGCTTCCAGCCTCTTGTCTTCCCACCTGTGCTTGTGATCTGTTACTGGATTCTCGCATCCTCCCGCGCCCAGAAAAACGAGAATTTCGTTATCGATTACGTTGAGAAGATGCTTCCTAGGGTTTACACTGACGACACCATCCGTTTCAATCGCAAGGCTCCGGCGGCTCGGGCTTAGGACGGTGAGGTACGATGGGAAGGAGAAGGACGATGATCAGGAGTCAAGATTGTTGGGGAGATGAGGCAACGGGGATGGGGATGGGGAAGAGGCGTGATTCGGCGGCGCGCCGAGCAAGGGAGAGTGGGGTCAGGCTTTCTCAGAGGGCGGCGGGACTTCTGAGAAGCTCTCTGGCCTTCTGCGGACCTCCCTGTGGCTTCGGGAGCCTCCTGATCGACAACTTGCGCCCATACCAACGCGACCCCTCGACCTCTCGGGGTGGAGTTCCGTGTGGGGCTCCGGGTGCGTGTTGTCGGAGGCGTCCCCGCTCGAAGGGCAGCCCCCCTCGGGGTCCGAAGACCCGCACCCACGCCTGCAGCGTCCGTCTTCATGTCCCTGCCCCTCCCCAGTCCTCCTCCCTGCAGGGTTTGGGTGCGTGTTGCTGTCCTCATCAGAGGGACGGGAGGCGAGGGGGGCAGGGGAGGGAAGGCGCAGCCCATCGCACGGATTCGGCGGAGGACTGGGGGGGAAGCCCTCGGCCCCTGCAAGGGAGGCGAAGGGGGGGGCCTCTTGGCCCTTGAAGTGTGGCATGCAGGCGGAAGGACAGGAAGGTAAAACAGACAAGCGAGCGATGACTCCTTGTTGCCTTGCCGACATCGTCGTTCTGATAACATTGCCCATTCTCGTTCTCCCTCATGTTTCCTCTTCCTCTTCCATCCTTGCCCTACCCTGCGAATTCGTCCCCATCCTCCTCGGCTCCTTTTGCGGAAGCTCCTCCTTGGAGAACCTCGTGGGGGCCTCACGAAAGTTTTAAAGGGCTTTGTGGGGCCGCCTGGAAGCCTCCTGGGCGCCTTCTGGGGGCTTCTTCTGGCCGCCCGCTTCCAACCGTGATCTCCCTGAACGACCGGGTTCGCGATTTGGAGTGCTTCGGGGGGCGTCTTGGGGCCATTTTGGGCCGTCTTGGGGCCCTGTTGGGCCGTTTTGGGGCTTTCTTGGTCGGCGCGGATTCGCCGTGCAATCGGTGTGGATACGACGGGATTCGAGCTGGATTCGACGCGCTCGACACGGATTCGACACGCGACGGGACAGGCAAGGTCCCCCGGAAATGCAAATAAACCTTCTTCTCTTACCTCTCTTCCAGTTGTTTTTGTATGGCACCGTGTGCGGTGCTGCTGTAGGACAACGCTGGCAGCTCTCGCTGCGGGGAGTTCCTGCTGCGCAGATTTTGCAGTCTCGCAGGACTCTTTGTGCAGGACCACGCTGGGTATAGCTGCGAATGCACCTCTCGGTGGAGCGCCGAGGGGGGAAGCAGGTCGAGAAGTCTCTCTCTCTCTCTCTCTTCCTAAACCTTTCTTCGTCTGCTTCCTTCCACCCCCTTTCCTCTCCCCTCTTACTTTTCTTCAGTGGTTCCAACTGGTGGGTGCACCCCTGACCGTAGATGGCACCGTGTGCGGTGCTGCTGTGGGACAAAGCTGGCAGCTCTCGGCGCGGTGTGCTCCTGCTGCGCAGATGTTTGCAGCCTCGCAGGCCACTTTGTGCGCTACCACCCTGGGTGTAGCTGCGAATGTACCTCTCGGCGGCGCGTCGAGGCGGGAAGTGTCCTGGCGCCCGGCCCCTGTCAGCCGAAGAGGTATGCGACCGAAAGAATGCGGTGACCGAAAGCGTGTCCGAAATTGTGGCAGAGGCGCAGTGCGACCGAACTTGCGACCGAAATTTAAAGTCGTAGTGGTTTCGAACCAAGAATTTCGGTCACGCGCTGGCGCGTTCGGATAAATCCGGGCGCTGGCTTCGGTCACACACGGGCAGGTTGTCGGGCACTGCCTTCCTGATATAGACCAGGCTGCGTGAGAAGTGAGAGGGGGCAGGTCTCTCAGACACCCTGACTTGGAGACAGCGTCTCAGAATCGAAGGAAGAAGCACGCTGACCGCGACCAGGATGTCGCGGGATCTTGTCGAGACGGATTTTGGTCATGGTCCATGCCAGCCGTCGCCGATTCGCGAGGATGATCCGCGAATTGACGCTGACCAAGATGGACGGTGAACAAGATCGGCACGACGTCTCCGTGTTCAGTCTAGGTCGTGGTTCCCCTTCTTTCCGCCCCTCTGCAGCAGGATGGATGCCTTCTGATCTGACCCTTCGGAGAAGGCCCGCACCCTTCAGGAGGGGACAAAAACACACAGATATAATGGATCGTCGATCCCAAGGAAAATATGGGAAGATACGGGAAGAGGGGGGGTAGACAAAAACCTAGAACACGTAGGAATTTAAGGGGGATCCTATGATTTCTGTGTATTTTTTATTTTTGAGTCCTGGGACCCCTTCAACCCTCCCCTGCCCCCCTGGGCGAACGGCCGAGCTCCCGGCGCTTGGCCGCGCTGCCCAGGGGCGCCCCCCCGCCCCGCAGGCCTTCGACTGGGGGACCCAGTTCACGGTCGACTGCGGCGACAAGGAGTACTGGCAGGAGGTCCTGCCGAGGTACCCCGAGCTGGTGGGGCGGGGGGAGCTGGAGCCCGCTTGCATCTCAGGGGAGGGAGGAGGAGGAGGAGGAGGAGGAGGAGGAGGAGGAGGAGGAGGAGGAGGAGGAGGAGGAGGAGGAGGAGGAGGAGGAGGAGGCGGAGGCGGAGGCGGAGGCGGAGGCGGAGGCGGAGGAGGCGGAGGCGGAGGAGGCGGAGGCGGAGGCGAGGAGGCGGAGGAGGAGGAGGAGGAGGAGGAGGAGGAGGAGGAGGAGGAGGCGGAGGCGGAGGCGGAGGCGGAGGAGGCGGAGGCGGAGGAGGCGGAGGAGGAGGAGGAGGAGGAGGAGGAGGAGGAGGAGGAGGAGGAACAGGAGGATGAGGGGCAGGAGCAGTAGGAGAAGGAGCAGATGCAGGAGGAGGAGGAGGAGGAGGAGGAGGAGGAGGAGGCGGACCAGTGTAAGCGCAAGTCAAGACGCATCAGCGCTGTTGCAGTAAACCCTCTCTCCAAATTTCCTCTTCACTGGTCCCTGCAAAAAAATGTTCTCGTTACGGGAAGTGTCCGAGAAGGCAGCAGTCTGAGAATCCTCCACCGTGCCAACACGCAATTCCGGGGACTTCAACGCCGCAGAACAACCTGATTGTTGCGTCCGAACAATCCCAAATTTTGCCAGAACGCAGTTCCAGGGACTTCAACACAGAGACTTAACGTGACTGTCGCGTCCTGCCAATCCTTCACGCTAGAGCATCGCTCCTGGGCCTTAGGCCACACAGAACCGTGACACTAACAAAGACTTTTTAGACGAATGTGTGTGCGGCGCTAGGACGAGAGACATCTTTTGGACAAGAACCGCCCTCCATCCGTGAGTCAGTTGCCAAGTTTGAAGACGAAGGTTAGCTAGAGTGGGCCCCAAACAATGTGTTCTAGCGTGCTATGCAGTCTCATCTATGTGGTGTAGTCTGCGTGGTGTAATCTATGTGGTGCAGTTCACTTTGACTGTCTTGAAGCTGTCCTCTCCACTGCTCGTGCAAACATTCCACCCTCCCACCCGCAACTTGGTCGCAAGACCTCTTAAGACCGTGACGGTGGGCACCAAATGGCACTTGGCAACGACACCGACGCCGACGACGACAGCGACAACGACGACGACGACGCCGCCGACAACGACTACGACAACACCGACGACGTCTCCAACGACTTCGACGACGACGACGACACCGACGACGACGACACCGACGACGACGACGCCGACGCCGACGACGACGACGATGACAACGACGACGACGACGATGGCGCCGCCGACGACGACGACGATTTCGAAGACGACGACGACGACGTCGCCAACGAGGACGACGACGACGACGAGGGAGGAGGGAGGACGACGACGGCGGCAACGACGACAACGACGAGGGAGGAGGGAGGACGGCCACGACGCGAACGACGAAGAAGGAGGGAGGACGGCGACGCCGACGACGACAAGGACGAGGGAGGAGGGAAGACGACGACGACGACGACGACGACGGCGACGAAATAGGAGGGACAATGACGAAACGCCGACGAAGACGACGAGGGAGGAAGGACGACCACGGCGACAACGACGACGGAAACGACGACGACGCCAAGACGACGACGACGACGAGGGAAAGACAACATGACGACGGCGACGACGACGACGACGACGACGACGAGGAAGGAGGGAGGACGGCGACGACGACGACAACGACGACGCAAGAGCGCACGCGCACGCTTTTGCTGAAAATCCGTGTTCCGAAACCGGAGGTTTTTGAAGTATTTCGGCATGCGCGCTCGACGACGCGCGCGTGCGCACTTCGTCTTTGAGGAGGGTTCTCGCGACGGCACGCGCGCAAGGGCGTCCGAAAGATTTCGACATGCGCGCGCGCGAAGCCCGTTTGGTCGCATTTCTCGAAGATATCGAACAACTTATGGTTTTCGGAAGGTTTCGCAAGAGCGCGCGCGTAAGTTTTCTTAGCAAATCAGTGTCGCGAAACCCAGTGTTTTTATATGCTTTTGGGAAGCTCGATTTTAAAATCCTTCCGACATCGAAGGTTTTTGAAGAATTTCGGCATGCGCGCGCGACGACACGCGCGTGTGCACTTCGTCTTACATTTTGTGCAAGAGATTCTTGACCACTTATCATTTTTGATAAACGAATATGCGCGCATATTTTTTGCAACGCATGGCGGGGGGGGGTCGATACCGGGATGGCTGGGGTAATATGAACTCGCAGGTAGGATGGGCGAGTGTGCAAAATAAATATGATATCGAAAGGCCCCAGGGGGGAGCGCTAGTTCCGGGGGGGGGTGTCGAGTCTTTTATTTTGTTTAGAACGGAGAATTGTTTTCAACAGGCGAGTTGACGCATCCCATGTTCTTGCAAACATTCCACCCCCCCCACCCGCAATTTGGTTTGCAAAACCCACGCGGTGGCGGTTGCGATGAGCGCTTGCCGTTGCCTGGTCCATCTGCGGCCGCGCCAACCCGAGCGCGCGCGCAGCGGCCAGCTTGTTTGGCGCGACCGACGCGGCCGTGGTGGCGCTGACCGCCGAGCGCATCCAAGCTGTCACTTCGCTGCGAGTCGGCGACTTTGGCGGGCGCGGTATCGTGTCAACGTCGGCAGCGGTAGATGCGATGATGATTGTGGCGATGCTGGTGGCGATGTTGACGACAACGGCGGCGCGGCCAGTGCGGGCGCTGATGCTGATCGCGCCGTCGGCGATGGCGGCGTCCTCGCGTCGGTGGTGAAGGTTTGGAAAGAGTTAAATATGCGCGCGCGGCCGACGCGCGGGAGTGGCCCGCGTGGTTTTATTTGACGCGGATCGCGCCCCCCCCAGCGCGCGTGCAAGGGCGTGCGAGTGATGTCGGCATGCGGCGCCGCAGGCCCGTTTGGCCGAATTCCATGGAATTTGGAAAACACTTATGGTTTTCATAAGAATTAGCATGAGCGCGAACACTTGTTTCCCCCCCGAAGACTGATGTTGTGAAACCAGGTATTGTCGCATTTTTTTAAGACACTCGGGTTTGACATCGTTACGGCACCGGAGGTTTTTGACGGATTTCGGGATGCGCGCGCGACGACGCGTGCGCGTGCATGTTCTTTGGGGGGCACAGGATTCTCGCGACGGCGCGCGCGCGCGAGGGCGTTCGAGCGATATCTGCGCGCGCGGTGCCCCGCGCGGTGCCCGTTCGGTAGCACTTTATGAAAATATTGCAAGCCGCTTGGTTTTCCAAATATTATATTCGCAATAGCGCGTTTTTTTTTTTTTTTTTTTTTTTGTTGATATCATTTTTTATTATTATTAATTTTATTATTATGTATATATATATATGCATGTATAACATCAGCGTTGCAAAACAATCTGTTGTTGTTGTTGTTCACATTTTTTTGTTTGACATTCGATTTTGGAACCCATCCCAAACGGAAGGTTTTTTTCAAGGATTTCGGTATGCGCGCGACGACGCGCGCGTGCACTTCGTCGCGTTTTTCTGCGAGGGGTTTTTGAAAGCTGATGATTTTTGATCGACAAGTGCGCGCGTATTAATTTTTTGGCCGCAAATGGCGGGGGGGGTCGATGCTGGCCTGACTGGGACGGTATGAATTCATATTTAGGATGGGCGATGGGACAGATCATGTGTAAATTGCAATGCGAAGGTGGGGATCGACAATTTTTTTTGGGGGGTAGAGCCGATTTTTTTCAGGAAAGAAAACTCATTTGTGGAGCTCGCAGTTGTCGCCTCCACTGCTCGCGCAACCATCCCGCCCGCCCGCCCGCAACTTGGTTGCAACACCCATGCGGCGGAGATTGTGATGAGTGCTTGGCGTTGGCTGGTGCATCCCTGCGGCCGCGCCAGCCCGCGCGTGCGCGCGCGCGCCCAGCGGCCAGCTAGCTTGGCGCGACCGACGCGGCCGCGGTGGCGCTGACCGGTGGGCGCGCCCCAGCGGGCAGTCAGTGCGAGTCGGCGAGCTTGGCGGGCGCAGTATCATGTCAACGTCGACGGCGGTAGACGCGATTATGAGGGTGGCGATGATCGTGGCGATGCTGAGCGCGACGACGGCACGGCCAGCGTGGGCGCAAACTTCGCGAGCAGATTTCGTCCGGAAAACATTGGGATGGGCCAGGCTTGTCCCTCATAGGTTCGTTTCAGATTTCGATGTGGATTTCGTGTGTGTGTGTGGGGGCAGGAATGAAGATGGCAAAAGAAAACCATGTGAAATTCACTTGGTTTTTCGCTCGCCGTTCGGGGTTTTGTATCGGCAGGAATCCGCGCGAAGATCCGCTGCAGCACATGTGCAAGGACGGTGCAGTGACCAGTGACGGCGCCGATGCTGATCACGCCAACGACGATGAGGGCGTCCTCGCGTCGGTGATGAAGGTCTTGGAAGGGGTGCGCGCGGCCGACGCGCGAGAGTGGCCGCGTGGTGGTATTTGACACGGATCGTGCCCCCCCAGCATGCGCGCGAGGGTGTTCGAATGTTTTCGGCATGCGGCGCGAAAACTCTGTTTGGCAAAATCCAATGGACATGTGGAGAAACCGGTGGTTTTTCTCAAGAATTCGCAAACACGCGAACGTTTTTTTTTTTTTTTTTTTTTTTTTTTTTTTTTTTTTTTTTTTTTTTTTTTTGTTGTTTTTTCATTATTATTTTTGTTTTTTCTTGTTTTAAAAACTCGGTTTCGAGTTTTTTTAAAGCCCTACGGTCTTATGACGGATGCGGCATGCGCGCGACGAGGCGCGCGTGTGCGCGTCGTCCCATTTATTGCAAAGGGTTCTTGCGACAACGCACGCGAGCGGGCGCTCGAATCATTTCGACATGCGCGTGCGCGAAGCCAATTTGGGAACATGTTATGAACATGTTGACAATAAAAACATGGTTTCATGATGTTTGCGCACAGCCGCGCGCGCAAGCTGTTTGGAACGTCGCTGTTGCGAATACAACAGAGTTTTTTTGGACGTTCGGTTTTGAAATCTCTCCGCAACCCACCGTTTTTGAAGGATTTCGGCATGCACGCGCGACGCCGCGCGCGTGTGCATTTTTTGGGCAAGCATTGTTTTTGACAACGAACGGTTTTTGTGAATCGACTGCGCGCGCACAATTTTTTCGCAGAGGATGACATGGGATGTCGATACGGATTTTTTTGATGATCCGAATTCATATTCAGGATCGACGATGGGGCAGAATCACATCTAACTTTCAATACGAATGGGGGGGTGGGGGATAGTCCCGGTTTAAAACTAAACACACACACACGCGCACCTACATACATACATATATATATACACACACTACATATATATAGTTATGTGTATATATATAGATGCATATGGATGTATATATATATGTACATATATATATATATATATATATATATATTCGCATATTATACATACGCATATCAAACACGGTGAAACTATGTTGTGCAATTTGGGTCGAGCAACCTGTGTGTTGCAGTGTAGGTGGTGCAATCTATGTTGTGTAACCTGAATGCTGCAGTCTATGTTGTGCGGTCCATGGGGTGCAATAGATGTGGTGCAGTGGAAATGGTGCAAGCCACGTGTTGCAACGTGTGTGATGCGCAGTATATGTATGTATGCATGCATGCATGTCTGTCTGTCTGTCTGTCTGTCTGTCTGTCTGTCTGTATGCCAGTGTGTATATTTATATGTGTATATACATATACATAGTTATGTGTATGTATGTGTATATGTATGTATGTATGTATGTATGTATGTATGTATGTATGTATGTATGTATGTATGTATGTATGTATGTATGTATGTATGTATGTGTGTGTGTGTGTGTGCGTGTGTTGCGCAACCTGTGTGTTGTCCAATATATGTGGGGGGTGACGAGGGCGGCGATGGCGGCAATATAGCCGCCAAATTGGCAGACAGGCCCAAACGACGAGCGGCGACGAGGCGGCGACGGGGCGGCGACGGCGGCAACGTAACCGTCAGACCAGCAGACCGGCCCATGAGATGGGCGGCGACGAGGCGGCGACGGGGCGGCGACGGCGGCAACGTAACCGTCAGACCAGCAGACCGGCCCATGAGATGGGCGGCGACGAGGCGGCGACGGGGCGGTGACGGCGGCAACGTAACCGTCAGACCAGCAGACTGGCCCATGAGACGGGCGGCGACGAGGCGGCGACGGGGCGGTGACGGCGGCAACGTAACCGTCAGACCGGCAGACCGGCCCATGAGACGGGCGGCGACGAGGCGGCGACGGGGCGGTGACGGCGGCAACACAGCCACCAGATCGGCACACAAGCCCATGCGACGGGCGTCGACGAGGCGGCGACGGGGTGGCGACGACGGCAAAATAGCCGCCAGAAAAGCCGACAGGCCCATGTCCGTAGAGCAGAACTAAGAACCCCTTAGAACAAACACTATGTTTGGAGTCGTAGGAGGCGAGGAAGTTTTGGGCGAAACGCCTGGCCCGCCCTTCCAGCACGCCTGGGGTTGCGACAGGGAGGAGTTATTCATGAAGAAAACGGATGGAGGAGGAGGAGGAGGAGGAGGAAGGAGGACGAGGAGGAAAAGGAGGAATAGGAAGAGGAGGAGGAGGAGGAGGAGGAAGAGGAGGAGGAGTGGGAGGAGGAGGAGGAGGAGGAGCATGAGGAGGAGGAGGGGGAATAATCATACATAATGATATGAGGAGGAGGAAGGAGAGGAGGAGGAGGAGGAGGAGGAGGAGGAGGAGGAGGAGATAGGAATAATAATAATAGGAGGAGGAGGAGGAAGGAGAGGAGGAGGAGGAGGAGGAGGAGGAGGAGGAGGAAGAGGAGGAAGAGGAGGAAGAGGAGGAAGAGGAGGAAGACGTCGAGGGGGATGAGGAAAAGGAGTATTAGAACGAGAGGAAGGATAATGAGAAGGAGGAGGAACACCAAGAGGAAAAGGCCTGGTAGCCTGGCCGCTCGCGCAAGCGTGTGTATGTGGAAGAGTAGACAGTTGCCGTGTCATTGAATTGTCCACCATCTTTCCGAGCTTTCCTTCCTGTCCCCTCCTCTCTGAACATTGCTTTCGTTCTGGCTGCACTGCATTTCTTAGACGCCTACGGCGAATCACCGCAGACTCCTGCCTTTTGCAATCGCCCATGTGGCCGAGCGTTGTGGCGAGAGCTATGCCAATCTATCGGACCATGTGTTCTCCCAGCCGTTGTGGAAGTCCTTCGGGGAACACTTGAGGGAGGATGGCGGGGAAGCTCAGGAGGAGGAGGAGGATGAGGAGGACCAGTGTAAGTCCAAGCGTCATCACCGATGTTGGAATACATCCTCCCTCCAAGCTCCGTCATCATAGGCCCCATACAAGGGTTGATCTCCACTCAGGGAACTGCCTCGTTGGAAGACAACCGTTTGAAGTCCCTGAAGAACACCAAAACATTACTCTCGGGACTCCAGCGCCACGGATTAACTTGATTGTTGCGTCTTGACGAGACCGAATCGTGCCAGAACGCCATTAGTGGGACGTCAACACTGCGAATCAACGTAACTGTTGCACCCTCATAGTCCTGAGTCTTTCCACAACGCAGATTTCTGGTACGTCGACCATCGGAATCTGTGAACCTCTTGCATTTATTCAAGAGGAATGTGCTCTGCGCTATGGCGAGAGCCACAATTCGAAAAGGAACCGCCCTCAATCCGTGAAACTCTTGCAAAGGTTTACGATGTATATGCGCGGCGCTAAAACGAGAGCCACATTTTGAAAACGATCGCCCTCAATCACTGGAACTTTTACAATTTTCTGAGATGATTGTGCGCGGCGCTAAGGCGAGAGCCACATTTTGAAAAGGAGCCGCCCTCAATTAGTGAAGCTCTTGCAATTTGTTACAACGAATGTGCGCGGCGCGAAGGCGAGAGCCACATTTTGAAAACGACTTGCCTTCAATTTGTGAAACTGTTGCCGATTTTCAAGATTCAGGGCCATACGCGGTGAGGAAGTATCAGGCGAAACGCCCGGCCCGCCCCAGAAAAAAGGCTTCGGGGTGCGACAGGGAGAAGTTATTTGTGAGGACAAGGAATGAGGAGGTGGAGGAAGAGGAAGAGGAGGAGGAGGAGGAGGAGGAGGAGGAGGAGGAGGAGGGGGAGGAGGAGGAGGAGGACCAGGAACAGGAGGAGGACGAGGAGGACCAGGAGCCTCGTGGGAAGTCTCTTGGGGCATTCTTGGGGCCTCCTGGGAGCTTCCTGGGGGCCTCTTTGGGGGCCTCCTTGGGCCTCTTGGGGGCCTTTGGGGGCTCCTTCGGGGCCTCTTTGGCCGTCTTTGGGCGTTCCTGGCCCGTCTGACGCCGTTGGAAGCCGTCTTGGAGGTCGCTCAGAACCGACTTGGGGCCCGCTTGGGGCGCTTCAGGGCCGTCCTGGAGGCCATCTTGAGCGTCTTGGAGGCCTTTTGGGCCGTCTTGGGGCCCTCTTGGGGCCGTCTTGGGGGCCTCTTGGGCCGTTCTGGGGCCATCTTGGAGGCCTCTTGGGCGATCTTGGGGCGATCTCTGGGGGCTCCGTCACGGACCGTCGGAAGGCCGAAAAGAAACAAATGTTCAAATCTTTCAAAACCTAAATCATATCAATGATTTTGGCCTCTTCGGGCCTTCCCGGAGGACCTCTTGAAGGCCTCCTGGGCCGTCTTGGAGGCCTCTTGGGCCGTCTTGGAGGCCTCTTGGAGGTCTCTGGGGCCGTCTTGGGCCGACTTGGAGGCTTCTTGGGCGGACTTGGAGGCATCTTGGACCCTCTCGGGCCGTCGTCGAGGCCATCTAGGGCGAACTTGGAGGCCACCTTGGATCATCTCGGCCGTCAAGGAGGCCATCTGGAGGCCATCTTGAGAGAAGAAGCCGACGAGGCAGCCAGCCAGCGCGCTGGGCCGAAGCTCCAGGGGGAGTTCTTCCGGAAACAGAATCAAATCCAAGCCGAGGGTGACGCCAGGCACCCCTGTGGCAAACCAACAGGGGGCGGCGGACTATCTAGTGGCCTTCGGCCCATCCTGGTGCCGTGCATGGGTTGTGGACCAGGGACCTCCTGGAGGTTTCTTCGCGTTTCTCGGGTGACTTCTCGGTGGCCTCTTGGAGGCCTCCCCAGGGGCGTCGTGGAGGCCTCTTGGGGGCTCCTTGGGGTCCTCTTGGGCTCCTCTCGGGCCTTTTCGGCGACTCCGGTGTGCTCATGGGGACCCCTTGGCGATCTCCGGTGCCATCTTGGCACAAAGGGACTCCCGCGGCTGCCGGCTCCCCCCGGAAATCATCAACAGCTCACGTTCTGATGATTCCAGGTCTCGGGAAAAGTCATGCGGAAAGCCGCCAGCGTCTCGCGGGACGCCCCGGAAGATCGAGAAGTCGACGGCCCCTCCCCCTCCTCGGCCATCCCCCCGCCCTTCCCTCGTGCCTCCACTCTCCCCATCTATCTTCCTTCTTTTCCTCCTCCTCCTCCTCCTCCTCCTCCTCCTCCTCCCTCCTCCTCCTCCTCCTCCTCCTCCTCCTCCTCCTCCTCCTCCTCCTCCCCCCCTCCACTTTCCTCCTCTCCTCTTCCCTCCTTCCTTTCTCCCCGTCACAGGGCCGCAAGACAATGCGCAGGGAGGGGAGGCCAACTTCCAGGTGGCGGATTACTGGACTCAGCGACCCAACGAGCAGAAGCCGACACTGACAGCCGAGTGGGGGGGGGGCTTTGCAGGAGTGTCAAGAGTAGGATGAGGAGGAGCACGTGGCGCCGGCGGGTCAAGGACGGGCAAGGCGCGCAAGGGAGGGGAGAGGCACGGTGAAAGGGAACCTCTCCAGGAGTAGGACCGGAATGGAGAGCTCGCGCCGCTCTGCCAGGCCTGGTGTGTGCTCGGTGGAAGCGGGCCAGTTCTGGCGGAGCCAGGTGGCATTGCTCCAGCGCGCACCTGTGAATCTCTGATGCTGGTCGCAGTGAT